GGGATTGCATTCAAGATTTTGTTAATTTTGGATAATGCTACGGGGCACCCACCACACCTGGACGACATGCACCCTGATGTTAAGGTAGTCTACATTCCACCTAACATTACCTCTATCATCTAACCCATGGATCAAGGTGCTATTGCTGCTTTTAAAGTGTATTATTTACGTACGATCTTCGCTCAGGCTGTTGCTGCTACTGAAGGTGAGAAAATGCTCAGAGAGTTTTGGAAGACTACAACATTTTGAAATGTATAAAGAACATAGCTGCAGCATGGGATGAGGTTACAGGTCAGTGCATGAATGGAATATGGAAGAAAGTCCTGAAAAGATATGTGAACAGTTTCAGAGGATTTAATGAAGATGAAGTAAATTTCTGAGATTAGTAACAAGATAGTGGAGTTGGGGAAACAGCTTGAGTTAGAAATTGATAATGAAGATGTTGAGCAGTTGGTTGAAAGTGTAGCAGCAGAGCTAAGTAACGAGGATCTTATTGAACTGGAAGCAGAGAAAAATGCAGAGGAAGAAGAGAGTCTAAATGTAGAAGAACCTGCACCCCCAAAAATTTTACAGAGAAGCAAATGGCTGAGGCATTTGCTACAATTAATAAGGGGATGCAAATGTTTGACGGAATGGATCAAAATGTTGAGCGTTTTGCCAAAGTTGACAGAATGATCCAAGATGCACTTGCTTGCTACAGGGAAATTTATAATGAAAAGAAAAAGCAAACTGTGCAGTCTAAATTGGACACATATTTTAAGAAGTCCCCCATTGCTGTCTCCTCACACCCCACCAGTGCTGCCTCTCCACTCCCTAATGATGATCCAATCCCTTCAACCAGCAAGTTTCCCCTGTATATTAACCTGTCTGAAGAAAGCAACATTGATGACCCACCCAGTCCTGTCTCCTCCTCTGCTTCATCCACTTAATGTAGTCTCCATGTATAATTAGAAAATTATGGGGGCCCCGTGTGCATTCAGCTGACGACATTAAAGGTAAGTGCACAGTAACACCGTATCCATTCTTCATTATTGATTACTTTTACTGTACTGTATTTCATTTTAGATTTTCTATGAAATATTTTTTGCATTTTCGACTTGAGACCATTTCGACTTATGACCTGGATTTGGGTCCCTAACCCCATCATAAGTCGGGGAGCAGCTGTACAGTACAGTAATGTAGCAGTGTATATGGTACTTAGAAAACTTCCCTGACACACTGACTGTAAACAAGGTCACTCGAGGTTTCACGCCCATTAAATTATCATTGAGAGAGTATGGATGGGGGTACATTTGGTCAATACCTGTGTTCATCTTTCACCCATTCCTCTTCTAGTGTTTCTGACTATCCTAAATATGTTATTATTTTAATTACGAATTGACATTTAAGAGTAACATCTTTTGTGCAAATGCTTAGTTTTTTATATATTTACTCTCAACCATTAGGTTAGGTTAGACAGTATCTGCCGTTGTCGGTGTGTTGTCGTCTGCTGTTTACAACCAACGTGCTCAGTCTGGGCGTTCACTCACCACCACAAAAAACATAAAATTTTACACCATGACACTTTAAGAATGTTGCTTTTATGGTACCAGATATCAAAGTAAGTATTCTGTTTAATATGGCAGGGGTCTGGGGGCGAAGCCCCCTTCTAGGAAGATAGGTAAGGTGTGGTAGACTTTCTAGAAAAAAAGGCTCATTTACACAAGAAATGAAGGTCATATTTGACTAAAACACACACAAATAAACCAGAAAAACAGTAATTTCTCATCAAAAAATGGAACGGGCCAAAAACTTTATACTGTAATTACCATAGATTTTACCAAGACCACAACTATCAATTATACATTAGGAGTTTGTATATTATAATTTTTGCCATCCAGCAAATTTTAGGATTTCAAGTTACCACCATCCGAGAGAGCTCCAGGACCAAAACAATAATTTTACCATAGGGGTTTTCTTGTTGAACTCGTATCAGTTTCATTTGGATTGGGTAGTGTGATTAGATTAGGTTATTATTCTACCCTGTTCAATGCAGACATGCCACATACAGGATGGTCTCCCTCTGGCAGTTGACTGTAGATGTGCCATATGGAATAGGATTCCGTTATATGTCAAAAGTACTGCACTGATGGTACACTCAAAATTCAGACCAGCCACACTAAAAGGGTTACAAACTGTTACAGTTGTTCTACTTGATCTTGATGATGCAAACATGTAATTAGATCCCAATTATCAAAAGTTTAATACAGCTATCCAAGTCAAAACCTGGATGCTCAAAACAAACTGTTTATTAATTCTGAATATCTGAAGTCAGGTCTGAGTTCAGGCATTTTCCTCCATCAATTTCTAGACAACTCATAAATAAATTTCCCGACACTAATATCCCACTCGTAACTAAAAGATGGAAATTATTTATCACTTCACAGCCGCTAATTTGTCATAGAAAATGAAATTAAAAATGCCACAATTTCACTGTTTTACCGTGGACACTGCCATAGTTATGGCAAATGATTTAAAAAGTGGCTATTTCTAAATTAAACCTAACCTATAGTACCCTTAGTTGATAAGAAAAACAAGCGGTAGAACTTACTATTACAACTTGTATATGGTGTAATTTGACGTATTTTGTGGACGTGAGAGCAGCGAACTAATCCGTGTGGCTTATATACATACACTCGCGACTGGCGTCGATTGGCTATGTACTGCCACATCACGCCAAGAAAGAGATTACTGTACTACTGGTTAGTGTGCGCCAGACAAATTAGTGCATGCCTAGTCACTCAATTAGGTCAATTTATAGTAGTACAAACTCTGTTAGAAAGTCAAAACTATGTTTTTCTAGTATTTTTTGATTGGTTCTGACCTTGATTTCCGTTGGAAAATGCCTGTTTTTTAAGTTATTGCCCCCTTCTACCCCCAACAAGATAGGGGATCCTATTAGGAACCCAGGGTTTTGGGTGGGGGAGAGAGAAAATAATTTTCCGACAAAATCATGGCCAACTGAATACAAAACAAACCAAAAAACACCACAAAAACATAAACCAAACCTTTTTTGGGATGACCTAACCTGACCTAACCTAACTCAATCAATGACGGTGTAAGAACACCAACGTCTCTTCTTTGTCTTGGGAATAAAGAACGAGTTACTACAATGCCAGCTCTGTTGGTCTTGACGATATTTACACTCCTTAGTACAATTAGGACACTTTACTGAGATCGGGAGAACACCACGAGATCTAGAAAATGCTATAGCTTGTTCGTTTTTTTTTCCCAAAATGCGCAATTAACTCCATATAATTGAAGTGACACCCATCACACACCTCCATGGTCAGAAATTTGAATTTCAAACCATGAGACCAAAAATCACAATCGAATCTAATTGGGCAAAAAATACCGTGAATTCTAAAAGCAGAAACCACAATTCATTTTAAATGATGGCAAAAAAAAAATGCCTTTGATTGGCCATGTGACGTGTATGGTAACGCATGCGCAAAATGATTTATGAAGGGAACATTAATGGAATTACATAGAGAAAGATTTGGCATGTGCGATCTCCGTTATTATTTTCCTTTCCCGACGGTAATGTAATAGACGAAAATTATCTTAAAATTATACGTTTTTTTCGAATATGATAATAGATTTGGGGTAGGAGTGTTGTGTGAACTGCTATAAAATATACCCCAATTACCTACCAAACGAAGCAATTTCCATAGAAACGATTATTATATCAGAACTCACTGATTGAAATTTAGTAAGAATATAAACATCAAAACAAATAACTCGTCGGCTGTGAACTCCTCACTACAGTATTAGCCCCAAAAACGGTAAAGGTGTAGTTTAGGGCTAACACCAGAAGGAGTTTGTTGATTTCTTTATATTTATTGTACTTATTGTTTTGATGATTTTAAGTACGGTACATTAAAAGAAACAACAACTTTCTAGTATAATTTTAAGTATTTTTTTTTTTTTATTTACTCTATCCTGCTTCACAATTCTCCTCCCGGCAACACTTTTGTTGTTTACCTCGCTGAATCCCTCTTCAAGAGCCGTTTCCTAAATGATGGTGGATGTTTCCACGAATTCCTCCTCGCCATTGCTTATGTATATCAACCTCAATATTAAGGTAAGTTGTTTAACACAAATATTAAAACGATAATGCAAAGAACCTAATAAAACCTGACCTAACATACCCATTCTATGGGTATGTTAGGTCAGGTTCTATTAGGTTCTATGTATTGTCGTTTCCATTTCTGTGTTTATTAACATGCTATTAGTGTAGAAAAAATTTCAATGATGTCTACAAACTCCTTCTGGTGTTAGCCCTAAACTACACCTTTACCCAAAAAACTTCACAGCTTATCGTAAAATAGGTAATTATATATGACTAACCCGTGAGCGAAATTGATTGAAATTATAAAAACGTCGGATTTTTATTGTTATGTTATAGTGGACACTGTTGTAGTTTGTGGAAATATGTTAAAAAATTGATATTTTTAAAATAAACGCTACTTAACATTTATGGGTATGAAGAACAGACCTAACCAACCAAACCAAACAAGCCTACCTAACCTTACCTAACTTCCCCAGTATATTAAACAGAAAGAACTTACTATGATATAGTGAAATTTGAGGAACTTTCTGGACGTGAGATGATACGGCCGCATCGGCGCTTTGCAGTAGTGGCAGGTTAGTCCTACATATTAACCGTAAAATACAATGCAGTTTTGATGAACACGTCCATTTGTGTAACTGAGAAACGTAGTTACAGAAACGTAGTTTAGAAGCTGTTTCAGAACAGACACGATATCAGAACACAGCTACAATTTATACTCATCAGAGAATAATGATTTCAATTTTAACACATGTAAGTGTCACTTGATGATAAAATAACTAACTTTCTAGTTTTTCAACAGACGATAAGAAGTAAAAAAAATCTGACAGGAGCACTTATTCGAGAAACACATCCACCCACCCTGTCACATATTGCCTAATAACCTTACCCAAACAGAGATCCGAGAAAACCCTTTGAAGAAGTCAGCTTCTTCTCGGCCTCAGCCATCAGTTGCATTGCTTTCTGTTCCGCGTCAGCCATTCTGAAGGTGGAAATTCAGCAATACGTTGTAACACCACAAGCCCCAGTTGGAGACAAAAGCTCGTCTGCCTTTCGAGTATAAGTGACTGTCTGATGGTTGGGCCTGCGTTCACATCACTACTCAATTGTATATAATCAAGAATTTATAGGATCAGGTACTCTATATAAGGAGTTAGATTATATAACTTTATTTATTCAAGTCATTTATATAGAGTATTGACTAATCGATTGTATACACCGTATTCCCTCAATAGATGGCAGCACCATCGCCCAGTGACAGCATCTAGCAGAAAGTATATTTTCACTCTACATGAACTTAGTTAAGGTCAAATTCATTATTATGTAAAACATTTTCAAGCAGAAACAATAATATTCACATTGTGCTCATTGTTCTATGATAACATGTCATTATTTTCAAATCAATATAAACAAAAATCAATAAAAACATAAGTACAAATAGGAAACATTTGACCTCCATATGGTGATGGTATCAGAAAGTGGTGCCCACATCTGTACATAAAAGAAAGGCATCTAAAAGCGACTGAACTTAGATAGTTACGATGTATAACAGAATCAACTTACTTTAGTCTACTACAAAATACATTGAGCTAATAAGTACATCACACCATCAAGAATCTTCTGCAGTACACAGTACTGTACTTGATCATCTGTGACTAAAATTTCTTAGATATTTTAAATTCCAAGACCTGAGTATCATTATTCTTATTAAGGTGCACAATTTGCAAAGATGAGACAAATCGAGAAAATTCCAAGAGGGAGAGATGCAATTTTTGACTGCTAGATTGAGAGCGCGAGGTGTGGAAGCTGGGACCTTCCCAGCTAACAATTCATCTTTGTTAAAACGTTATAATTAGAACATTACTGCAAAATTTTTCCATGGGCCAGATATTTCTTTGCAATGGCCAATAACGTTTCATTAAACTTAAGTAAAATGTCACAGCAAAGTTCCAGAAATGTGACGAAAAACTTATGCACACCTCCATGTCTAATATTAACCTAAAGTAACGGTAAGCGAACATAATATTAACCTAAGTGCAACATAAGAACATAAGAATAGAGGAAACTGCAGCGGGCATATTGGCCCATACTGGGCAGTCCTGTGGGGTATGAGATTGTTTGGTTCACACTCAGGATGGGTTGGAGAAAGGAAACTCACAATGTGCTCTCTATATACATGTTGTATTGGATGTACAATGCAGCTTGGTGCTGGGAAGGCAGCATGGTTACAAGCGTGATGTAGAGAGAGCTGGTTGGTGAGGACGCTCAGAGAAGGACAGCTTGTGGGTCGCCATGCTCGCCAGCGGGAGAGAGGACCGCCAGGCAGGCGGAGGAGCGAGGGCCGCCAGGCAGGCGGAGGTGTTGCTGGCTCGTTGGTGTAGGTAGAAAGAGAGAGAGATCACCACGAGGTCAGGTCTTAAATAGCAAGGGTAGGCGTGGCTTAGCAGTTGACCCCCGCTCCGTGGTGTATGGCGGCGCTGGTTGACCTAGACCACGAGGCATACACTGGGGAATTGGTGGGGTCGGCTAGGCAGCGACAAACAGCGTTTGTAGGGGAGAATTCCACTACAATACTCCCCCTTCCCTCCAGGCTGTGTAGGAGACTTGTTGTCTGCAGAGTTGCATAGCACATGTGAGGCAGAACGGGCGGTGCGTGCCTCATGTGAGACAACGGCGATGGCGTGATGAGCCGGTCGCTGGGGACAACTGTCTAGATACACAATATCTGTGGGAGTAGAGAGGGAGAATAAGGGTGTGTGGAGGCGATGAATGTTGTGCTTCCCTCACGGCAGGTACAGAGTCGTCAGATGCGCCTGCTGGGGTGTGTGGGCCTGGGTCAGGAGCAGGGGCTGTGTCAGCAGCAGCGGATGAGGGCTCGTGACAGCAGCTGGGTCCACGACAGCAGCAGGGTGCAGGACATTAGCAGGGAGTACCTGGGGGAGAAAAGAGGGGTGGGTGTGTCCGCACTCAGGAACAGAGGCCGCATCAGGGGCGGCAGGGGTTACTGCTGGGCCGGGGTCGGCGTCTGAGGCAGGACGGGTGTGCTGGGGTCGGTAGGACGTGGTGCTTGGGGGCAGGAAAAGGAGCTGGTGTCTGCTAGGAGAAACAGTGCTGCTCTAGGGAGTCTAACCTGCGGTGTAGAGACAGTAGTTGTAGAGCCGATGAGAGCTGCTTCTGTGTGGATAAGCCAGTCTTCCATGTTGTTTGAAGACTGGGAGCGTGATCAGTTTCTCCTCCATCCTGTGTGAGTGCGAATCTCCGGGAGTCACCAATTGTGGGTTATGAGATTGTTTGGTGTTCACACTCAGGATGGGATGGAGAAAGGAAACTCACGATGTGCTCTCTATATACATGTTGTATTAGATGTACAATGCAGCTTGGTGCTGGGAAGGCAGCATGGTTACAAGCGTGATGTAGAGAGAGCTGGTTGGTGAGGACGCTCAGAGAAGGACAGCTTGTGGGTCGCCATGCTCGCCAGCGGGAGAGAGGACCGCCAGGCAGGCGGAGGAGGAGCGAGGACCGCCAGGCAGGAGGAGGTGTTGCTGGCTGGTTGGTGTAGGTAGAAAAAGAGACAGATCACCACGAGGTCAGGTCTTAAATAGCGGGGGTAGGCGTGGCTTAGCAGTTGACCCCCGCTCCGTGGTGTATGGCGGCGCTGGTTGACCTAGACCACGAGGCATACACTGGGGAATTGGTGGGGTCGGCTAGGCAGCGACAAACAGCGTTTGTAGGGGAGAATTCCACTACAATACTCCCCCTTCCCTCCAGGCTGTGTAGGAGACTTGTTGTCTGCAGAGTTGCATAGCACATGTGAGGCAGAACGGGCGGTGCGTGCCTCATGTGAGACAACGGCGATGGCGTGGATGAGCCGGTCGCTGGGGACAACTGTCTAGATACACAATATCTGTGGGAGTAGAGAGGGAGAATAAGGGTGTGTGGAGGCGATGAATTTTGTGCTTCCCTCACGGCAGGTACCGAGTCGTCAGATGCGCCTGCTGGGGTGTGTGGGCCTGGGTCAGGAGCAGGGGCTGCGTCAGCAGAAACGGATGAGGGCTCGTGACAGCAGCTGGGTCCACGACAGCAGCAGGGTGCAGGACATTAGCAGGGAGTACCTGGGGGAGAAAAGAGGGGTGTGTGTGTCCGCACTCAGGAACAGAGGCCGCATCAAGGGCGGCAGGGGTTACTGCTGGGCCGGGGTCGGCGTCTGAGGCAGGACGGGTGTGCTGGGGTCGGTAGGACGTGGTGCTTAGGGCAGGAAGAGGAGCTGGTGTCTGCTTAGAGTAGCAGAGCTGCTCTAGGGTGTCTAACCTGCGGTGTAGAGACAGTAGCTGTAGAGCCGATGAGAGCTGCTCCTGGGTGGATAAGCCAGTCTTCCATGTTGCTTGAAGACTGGGAGCGTGATCAGTTTCTCCTCCATCCTGTGTGAGTGCGAATCTCCGGGAGTCACCATTTGTGGGGTATGAGATGTTTGGGTTCACGACAGCAGCAGGGTGCAGGACATTAGCAGGGAGTACCTGGGGGAGAAAAGAGTGGTGTGTGTGTCCGCACTCAGGAACAGAGGCCGCATCAGGGGCGGCAGGGGTTACTGCTGGGCCGGGGTCGGCGTCTGAGGCAGGACGGGTGTGCTGGGGTCGGTAGGACGTGGTGCTTGGGGGCAGGAAAAGGAGCTGGTGTCTGCTAGGAGAAACAGTGCTGCTCTAGGGTGTCTAACCTGCGGTGTAGAGACAGTAGTTGTAGAGCCGATGAGAGCTGCTTCTGGGTGGATAAGCCAGTCTTCCATGTTGCTTGAAGACTGGGAGCGTGATCAGTTTCTCCTCCATCCTGTGTGAGTGCGAATCTCCGGGAGTCACCATTTGTGGGGTATGAGATTGTTTGGTGTTCACACTCAGGATGGGATGGAGAAAGGAAACTCACAATGTGCTCTCTATATACATGTTGTATTGGATGTACAATGCAGCTTGGTGCTGGGAAGGCAGCATGGTTACAAGCGTGATGTAGAGAGAGCTGGTTGGTGAGGACGCTCAGAGAAGGACAGCTTGTGGGTCGCCATGCTCGCCAGCGGGAGAGAGGACCGCCAGGCAGGCGGAGGAGGAGCGAGGACCGCCAGGCAGGAGGAGGTGTTGCTGGCTGGTTGGTGTTGGTAGAAAGAGAGACAGATCACCACGAGGTCAGGTCTTAAATAGCGGGGGTAGGCGTGGCTTAGCAGTTGACCCCCGCTCCGTGGTGTATGGCGGCGCTGGTTGACCTAGACCACGAGGCATACACTGGGGAATTGGTGGGGTCGGCTAGGCAGCGACAAACAGCGTTTGTAGGGGAGAATTCCACTACAGTCCCATTTACACCCAGCCCCTATTGCTCATATATTCATCAATCCTAAGTTTGAAGCTATCCAGCGTATTCGAGTTAATGATGATATTTGGTAACTTGTTCCAGTCATCCACTACTCTATTTCCAAACCAATGTTTACCTATTTCGCGCCTAAATCTAAATTTGTCTAATTTAAAATCGTTGTTACGAGTTCGTTCCGGGTTGGAAATTTTGAGTATCTTTGTAATGTCCCCTTTGTTTAGCCCTGACTTCCATTTATGCACCCGATCATGTCGCCCCTCACTCTACAGTACGTCTCTCGAGGGAGTGCAAATTAAGATGCTTTAACCTGTCTGTGTACTCAAGGTTCCTAATGCCCGGGATTAGTCTTTTCATTCTTCTCTGAATTCTTTCCAAGGATTCTATATCCATTCTGTAATACGGTGACCAGAATTGAACTGCGTAATCCAAGTGAGGTCTCACAAGCACAAGATACAGTATAGTTTTAAGATGACCTCGCTAGTCTTGTAACTAAAACTCCTTTGTATGAACCCAAGTACTTTATTAGCTTTGTTTCGAGCAAATACACATTGTTTATTCGGCTTAAGATTCCTACTTATCATTACTCCTAAATCTCTCTCGCAGTCGGATTTCTCAATAACATTGTTGTTCATCTGGTATCTGGTTTCCCTGTTTACATCTCCTATACTGAGTACTTTACATTTGTCCACGTTGAATTTCATCTGCTATTTTTCAGACCA